GGGCCATCTTTCCTTCATGCTCACATGCTAGGGGTTGGCAAAGTGTTGCTTCCGAGTCACCTCCCAGGTTGTCGTCTTTACTTGATGTCCTTGCCGCAGTCATCATTCGTTGGATTTTGCATTTCGAGAAGAATACCACGGGTGCGGGTGCGGGAATAGCGAGAAGCCTCGGCCAACGGTCGAATGACTTTGCATTGGTTCAGGTTAAGTTAAAGCGGTGCCTTTGGTGACCCCGCAAAACAACACCGGCCAAAGCCCACTTCTAAATTCCACAAAGTGAACAGTCACTGATCCCCCAAAACAGGTTCCATAAAGGTACAGCCAGACCAAGCACGGATGCAACCAGAGGTGTTACTTTTGCTATTCACACTCCCACAGGAGAGGGGCCCTGGCCACCAATGATTGATAGGCCCCGTAATAGGCCTTACGCCTATGACATGCTGCAGGACTTCCCAATCTTGACAGTCCCTCGTTCTGAAAATGGCTCCAGCCTTCATGCTTGTCACATCTTCCAAGTCAAGGTGATTTGAGTACCAAAGGCTCGGATGTCGCCGCTTCGAACTGGCGCCGCTCTATCTCGGATCGTTGTACACGGTACCAAAGTCTCCGGGGAGTGGGACATTTGAGGGGCCAACTTCCATTTCCTGATAGAGTAAATCATTGTGCCGTTCAGAATATGAAGATCCCCTAAAGCTGAAGCACCATGTTACTTCTCGGCCAACTCCCGGTGCAGAAGATCACTCTTCTTCGTGAACGTCGTCGCTCGTCGCTCGCCTTCGTGTTCCCGTCGTTCGTGTCCCACCCGTGCTTCGGATCCGAACGACGCCGATCGCCGGGGTCGGAGCGGACGAAGCGACGAGCACGCGCCGGCGATCACGGCGATCACGGCGCAAGCGAGTGACAAACCGGAGGTGTTGGTAGAGACAACCGTCGGTGGTGGAGATGTCCTTCATTTCCAGCCCTCGTCTTCCTGAAAGGTCCGAAACCGAGCGAAGGGCTCATTCGTGGCGAGGCAGCGCAATCGCCAGGTCGGTCGACCGCGTGATGGCCTTGCCTCACTAGCCTTGAGATGGAGGGCCTGTCTACAGCGCCCTCCCAGGGTGGAAAAATGGCGCAAGACATCTTCCTTATTCGTTTTTTTTTCAAGGCGTTTTCAATACCCATGTCATACTTCAGACAAGCATGAGCGATGAGGACCTAGCAGTTTTGCTTCAAAAAGATGGTATATAAGCGTTTCAATTGAAGCAGCTGACTTTTTTCTTGCACCATCACATATTGAAATAGTAAGGCCCTTGCAACCCTGAAGTCCAAGACAAGCAGGAAGCCTAGCAGCCTCTCTTCCAACGCCTACGTCAGGGTTGCAGGGACTCTTGTCCAAATATCTCCAACGCCGTAGCGGCGGCCCTAGCCTACGGCGGTGGCGTGGGCTCCGCAAGGGGCGGTGTACAGACCTTTGTTGCAACAACCGATCTCTCCAATCCTGTCTCACGATGTCTGGGGACAGCCCCTCAGACTCATCTCTTTTCTGGGAGCGCATCGACTGCCCCGCACTTTCGCCTCGCCGCGGAACGAGTGCCAGCGCGGGAGCATGGGTGGGTCCCCCAATTTTGAGGTCCCGCACATTCCGCCTTGTTGTGTCGGGGGGTCTTACGACTGTGCTGGAGAGCTCTCACCCTGGCAGAACGATGGACCTTGAAGTCTGTTTAAATTCGCCATTTTCTTGATTCCAGTGAAAGCTACAGCTGAGACTCAGTCTGAAAAGCGGTCCGAAGCACGGTCGAAGCACGTTTTCAGGCGGGTCCGGTTCATCCAAGGCGTTTGAGGCCATCCCCGCCTGCGGGAGTGGGGGTGGCAAGCGAGCTGGGTGAGTGTCTCTTTTCGGAGTCTGGTTCAAAGGCCCCGTAGACTCGGCGAAATGTGGCGTCCAACGTGGAACCACACCCCCGGCCGGGCACTGAACTGCCGAGAGGACTGGATTCATTGAAGACTTCAAGATACTGACGGCAGGGTCCAGGGTTTGAGAAGTTTTTTGTGAACTTCAAGGATGTCAATGAACCCAGTTCCAGCTGCAGTAGGAGCTTTCTAACTTGGAGAGCTCCAGATCTCACCCAGACGTTCTGCCAGATGAGTGCGCAGGGAGAGCCTGTGGCATCTCACTCGGTGTCTGGAGGCATGTTCAGTGTTTCGACTGCTGGGGTGATTGGGATGTACAGAAGGGCACAGAGGTCCGGCGGCCATGGTCTCGGCAAGGAGGCAGGCGTGCTCAGATGGTGACCTGCGAGTTTCGAAGGATGTATTCTTGAAGTGACACGTTAGCTTGCACTTGTAAAGGTGAAGGTGCATGAGGAAGCCTCCCTTTCAGAGACCTTGGAAGGACTCTCAACCAATGGGTGGCAGGCCGTGTGTACAGTGTTCCCTGCTTGCGAGAGGTTTTTGCAATGCTCTAAAGTGCCTTTTGATGGTGTCGCTTTGTGATGTTTCTTTGCGAGCAAAGGGGACAGGCGTGGTGGCTCACAACTTGGTTCAGGGTCATTGATTCTGGATTTGCTCCAGGCGGGGCCTGTCTGTGGAACCAGAGTTTGCATGTTTCCTATCCCATAGTCCTAATCTAAAGCGGCCACCTTTGCACCCAGTGGCCACCTTTGCACCCAGTGTATGCTTGTAGGCCAAGACCTTGTTTGTCGGCTCTTCTCTAAATCCGTTGGTCATAGTATACAATACAGTTCCTCCGCTAATGGCTTTCACATAAACTTGATTCCCAAGAATCTGAAGATCACTACGCCCAAGTGATGGGCTTGAGCCGGGTGCAGAACCGGTTCATGGTGAACATGAAGACATCCTCAGAACTGCTTGGGCCTTCCCCAAAGTTTGAATGTCATGGGAGCTTGTTAATTCGTTGTCACGAATCTCTTGAGGCCTTGGGCCAGGCAGGGAAGAGGTGCGCACCACGCGGTGCGGTGAGCCATGCGGTGGGTGGGCCATGCGGTGGCTTCTTCGTTAGCCCTGTGGGCCTCCATCCTTTTCTGATAACACCGGCTTGTCTACTTTCTAGGACCGCCTCCACTGCTGTTGTGCTGACAGGCTTCATACAGTGCTGGTTGGGGCAGGACGACAAAAGATCTCGACCAGGGGTGGGCATCCAAAAGGGTGGCACTGCTACTTTTCGTGAAGAAGCGTGTTGGTATGCACCAGGCTAATCGCAAGACTTACAAGCTTGCTGGCAATGTTGTGGCCGCCAAATGAATTTGACCATAGCTGTGGTGTGATTTCTTTTTGGCACTGCAGAAGTTTGCCAAGAGCTCTCTTGTTGTTCGCAGATTGCTGCCCAACTCGACGGTATTTCTTGGCGCATAAGACGCTGTCGTAGTATGAGAAGTTCAGCGAGGCCCTCTCCAACTCCATGAAAACATGAAAAGCGATTTGGGGCTGGACCCCACTTTACAGGACGTTGGGCTAGAAGCGATCTTCAAGAAGAGGCTGACTGGCGGTGGAAAGAGTGGTGTCCCGAACGCCGGGATGTGGGCACTACACCTTGTTCCTCACCAGCAACATGGTTTGGTCATGCACATGATGAAGAAGGAACCTGGTGATGAAAGTTAAAGACTTTGCGCTGCGGATGATGAAGAGCTTCAGCGATTTGCAAGAACCTTCCGACAAGTTCATGATTTGTTTTTGGCTTGATGAGCGGAGACTTGGCGTGATTGGCGTTTGCGAGCTGCATCCAGTCCAAGAGGAACAGCGTGATACGCTGAGGGGTGTCATGTAATCTTGAAGTTGCCCCCGCGTTCTCCATGGCGCTTGTGGGGGAAACCAAGTCTTCGACCCGGGCTCAGACCAGCCTGTTGCTCTTCGGCAGCGTTTCGATCGCATCGGCGGCTCCACCCCCACGGCGAGATTTCCATGAGGGCAGCAAGACCTGCCCCCCCGAGTTTTATGAGAGTTGGTTTGCTTCCCAGATGCTGGTGCCGATCCTCATCGGCTTCACTCCCTACGCATCACCAAAAGTGCTGAAGAGAAACTGGTTTGGAGCTCTATCCAAGTCTCAATATGAACCAGTTCGAGAATGAGTCAGTTGAAATTTATGGACATGACAGTCCCAGCAAATTCAACGAGCAAATCCAAGATTCCCAAGTCAGCACCTTTCAGGTTGGACCGCTCACCACCAGGAAGTGGATCTTCGGGGCATTCTCAAGACTCATGGCCTCGGCTATGTTTCAAGGGCCCCAAAACCTTGGAATCAATCGGGTTGGAGACTTTGGCCTTGAAGGGCTTCCCCCAGGTGCCAAATAACAAACATCAACGACGAATTAAGAATTTCTACCAGTGTTCCGTTGGAAACTTTTACGGTGGTTCATTCTTGTCAATTCGCACTTGCCCGCCTCCGAGAAATCCAAATTACCCACTCGTTTCTGAATCTTTCAAGTGACGGCGCAGAGTGACTTTGTTCGGCGCCAACATCGGCGGAAGTCTATGGAGCGGACCACGTGCAAAAAAGGGCTCCCGCACTGTGCGCCTCACCGTTTCATGCATGCGGAACACAACTGGTCGGGAGGGGGGCTTTGTCAGCGCGCAAGTCTGCCCAGTAAATTGTCCCCCACACCTCTCTTGGTCGACCAGAAGGGGGTGTTTTTGTTTTTTTTACTCCTTTTCCACTCGGCCCAGCCTTCGTTGCTTCCACTGACCACACGACACTTGCCCATCCTGCAAGGAAAGCGGCGGAAGAGCACTTCTGCCTTTCCGACGCCCGGGTGAGCGGTTCCGGGGCTTCTGCCGTGCTCTCGACGTGCAGCGCACGCGCCAATCTGAAAAGAGACCTCCAGGGCTCGGAGGGCTTGGGAGGAGTGGATTGGCCCACTGTGACATGTCTGGGGTGGTGGAAAACCCACCTCATTCGAGAACAGCAGTCGGTTTTTAAGGGTTTTTTTCACACGCGATGGCATTTTCTAGGGTGTTTAAAGCGGTTCTTCGTTGAACCGCGTGCTTTTGCATGGGATTGGCAGGCGGCCCGCAAAGAGGGCGAGCCTGACATGCCCTGAACCGTGTGGAGCGACATGGTCGGAGCAAACGTCACAAAGGCCTGAGGTTTGGGATGGGCCAGGAAGGGTCAGCTGCGGATGTAAGATTCTTGCAATACTTTTTGGTTTGGTGGTTGTTTCTTGGTTTGGAAAAAAACCTGGAGGCCAAACGGCGAAATACATCTCAAGAGATTCTGAGTTGGGGACCTGCACATTTGAGGACCCGAGGACAAATATTTTGTATGAAACTTCCACTTATTTTTTACATGAATCATGAAGAATGTACAGCTTGGATAGACCATCTTCCTCTACTAAAGAATTGCTGTAATGCCAACGTTGGATTAATCAACCCCCCCTTCAAGGTCAACAAGGTCAACAAGGTGGTTTGAGATTAGAGGTATTGGAGGACCACTTATAAAGATGATGACCTGATGATGGATGATGAGATGATGACCTGGACTCAATCATGGATGATGGTTGATGGTTGATGGATGACCTAAGATATTGGATACTGCCCAAATTGAACATAACAAATAAACACAATTTGAATATGGTGCAGCTGGGCTTGATTAATAGGGGGGGTTCTGACCAGGAAACACATATTAGGGGGGTGTCAAGGTGGAAATTCAGTTTGTTTATTAGTTTAGTATTGGGGGCTCGAGCTTCGCTTGATCAATATGGGGGGTTCATTCATCCTAGGTGCGCACTAAAGGGGACCTTTTTGATAAATTGTTTCTGCATTTCATTCTTCAGTTGACTGGTTGACGTTCATAGCTTCGCTTTGTCTAGAGCATGTCATGTTCGGACCCTTCTCCCCTTGAGAAGTTGGACTTGAAGAGTTGGCGTCCGATGTCCAGATTCCCACAGGGCGTCCACCGGCCAAGCGCCAGTCGGACTGGATCGCCCGCCGACCCGGTTTCGCCTGTCGATCGAAGAACGAAGCGCCAGGCCGGTGTTTCACCGCGCGGTCCACCGCGTGGCAGACGGAGTGGCAGCGTGATCCGGCGGCCAAAAGCGGGTGGTGGAGCTTGGGTGAGAAGTCGGGCAGAATAGACCAAGAGATAACAAGTAAGACAGATAAGCAAGTTCAGCAGTGTAGTCACGCTAAAAGGGTCGAACATGGAACAATGCTGAAGATAGAACAATCCAAACCCTATGCATATTCGCATCCCAAACTCGTTCTTGAGGGCAGGGACATGCATTTCCCTCTATGTCCGCCGGAGTGTGGCAGACCCATTTAAGCCAGTAGCAACACAGGCCGATGCAGCAAGGGTGGAAGGGCTCATGTGATGCAACACTTCTTCGAGGAGAAAGATGGCAAGCAGGGGTTCTAATTCCGAAACCCATGAAAGACTACTCTACTTGAATGTTGGGGTGCAAACAGAAGCTTCTTTTGAAGAGAGGGCTACTCAGGAGAGAATGAGCTGACAGAACCACAATTCTGAGAGAACCACAAGCATTCCTACACAGCTTTGGCTGTGGCTCATGTCCTTACAACCATTGGGACCGGCCCAAACCGCCTGGTCGTCCCGTCGCCGCGGGACCGGTCGTCCCGAACGGACCGACCCGTTCCGTTTCTCGGCTCGCAGCGGTTTGTCGTTGAAGTTCACCTTTTCGGAACACCGGAAGATGGTGCGGGGTCCCAGAAAGGGGGGGGAAACGGGGACCAGGGTGACGTGGTGAAAGAAAAGGATATCGGTATCAGAATGCTATTATTTGATATTATTTGTTGATCTTGTGATCACAATATTGTTTGCAGGACTTCCTACTATCCAACTGGATGATCTCTTGTGAACTGGAGGAGCTCAGGTGCCATGACCCTGTGAAAGCCATGGCTTCCGAAGTTATGGCGAGATTGAGTTTGGCCTACAAAGCCAATGCTCATGGAGTGAGAGCCCAACACTTTCAGCCCATGAGTTCTCTTCACTCGGATTGCGTCCGGGTCCGGCCGTTCATGGCGATGGTCCGGGCACTTGTCAGCTCCGCTCGGACCGAGACCGGGTCGACGCGGGAGCGATGGTCGCCCAGGTGAACGGGCTTCTGTCCGACATCTCCTTCCAGCAGATTGGCGGCCGATGCAAGATAGCCACCCGGATGCATCCGGATTCGCATGGGAGGGCCCAATGGATGATGGGGGCGTGCGTACGTGAGTTTCTGAACACAATGGAGTGCCCAATGAATCGGGGTTCTATTTTATCATTCGGGGGTCTTCAGGGGTTTTCCAACCCGGAAGAAGATTAGGGCAAATCTTGGGAGGTTGCCAGTGGCTCAGCCAAGACAAAGGGACCTGAACAGGATGAGTGAGGCTTTGAGAAAGGGGCCCGTGAGTTGGTCGCTTGAGTGACCCTTGCCAAAGACTTGATCAGGCCATTTCTTGGGCCACAGACTCCTTGAACCAGCATGGAGCAAGCCGAGCAAGTACGTATACCAAGTCCCGTACTGACCCAGTGCTTTGGCCCACCAAGTGCTTCGCAAGTCCGGGAAAGTGCAATTGCCGTAGACGCCCTGGTTTTGGTGAGTTCGTTTTTGCCGACCAACACTGGGGGGTGCGCAGCCGAGAGCGCTCAGAGTGAGTGACATGCGGCTGGCAAGATAGAAGTGACATTCTGCGGGTGGGAAAACCCTAGCACCATGATTTCAGATTTCTTTGTTTTTGTAAATATTGGCCATCTTGGGAATGTTCCTTGCATTGTTTTGTTCAGTCAGTGATCAACTTTGGATTCATTTTCTCCTTGTGTTTTTCCTTTTTGCTGACCAACATTTGTGGTTTGCTTTATATAATGAGCCAGATCAAGGCGCAACCCATGTCAGCCCAGGTTTACAAGGATGACATCGTGAGCTGTTTGCGAGGCAAGCGGGTGAGCGACGTGGGTGGCTTGCGAGCGGGCGAACGAGTGACATGTTTCAGCTCAGGACTACTGATCACAGGCTGAGTCTGACTAAGTCACGCAGGGAGCCACTTGGTGTTCCATCACAGGTTGTCAACCGTGTTCCGATGCCAGGCATGTGGAAGCAACCTGCGCAACCTGTCCTTGTGCATCCATGGTGATCCCAGTTTTTCCATGCAAGTCTTCAGACTAGTGAAATGGTGGGAGGAAAATACGGGGGGGAATCTTTGTGAAAAGAGAAGGGTTCTGAGATGACGATCGTCGGTAGAGGTCCCCGACTAGATAGACAGAATTTCCATGGATTCCCACACATTCTTGGACGGGATGTACTTTTCTATTGATCATAGGGTCACCGGATGCTACTAGTTACTAGGAGCAAGAAGCTACTAGGGGCTCCTGGCCGTACTACTAGGAACAAGGACGCTACTAGGGGCTCCTGGCATCGCTACTAGTAACAAGAAGCTACGAACGGAGCAAGGGGCATCGCTACGAACGTGTAGGGTCACCGGATGCCTTCTTGGCAAACATACTACTGTTGGCGCGAGTTGGCGGTGTAGCGGAGTTTTCTGGACAGCGGTGTAGTACCGTGACCGAGTCGGCGTGCGCAGGAGATATTGTGGTTTCAGAGCGCTTCCAAGCTCTAAAGAAGAAAAGGTTTGAGAAGGAAGAGCAAGAAGCGAAACAGTGGCCAGGTTGCATTATGGTTTCGAGTGCGGCCCCCCATGGCCCAAGAATGGCCCCCATATGCCCCCCATGGCCCAGAAAACCATGAGCTTGGTAGATTGAAATCCACCCCAAAAGCTTGGTCCTTGGCCTGGAGAATTCAGAGATGGTTTCTGGCCCCAAAGATATAGGTGTTGGAATAAAGTTGCTGAAACTGTTTGGACCACCCCCCTCCGGATTTTTCATCCGTCGCCTTGGGATCGGCGAGGATCGGGATCCGCAGGCCTTGTGCCGCAAGCTTGCGTCAAATAGGGCAACTTAGGACGAGGGTTCTTCACGGCCATGACGAAAGGTGGTGTCGCAGGGGTGTCCGAACTGACGCTTGCCGCTGTGCTGGGCAAAGAGGCATGCGCAACAACGCCTTCAACGTGACAGGTTCGGGGAGAGCGAGAGAGAACGTGAGAGAGAGAGAGGACCTGGCAACTTTGGCGGCTGGCAGAGAAGTGACCTAAGAGGGATGATATGGGTATGGCATGGTATGATATGATTGGAAATTGGAGGATCCCTGTCCCAACATTCTACGTGAGACCTAGGATTGCTAGCCAGTGGAACTTCAGAAATGTCAGTTGGATGCTCGTTTCAGGGATAGCTTTGAGTTACCCTTTTACCCATCCAGTTGTCTTTCTTCTTTGATAGGTCCAGACTTTCACCGCATCACCCAAAATCGAAAAGGAGTCCGAACATGACGGGTATTTTTTCCGTAGTTCCTTTGCCTCATCTTGCAGGGAGCGGGTGATCAACTACTTGAAACAGAAGAAGTTTGAGACCATGGATGTCAATGCAGAAGCTTTGGTACAGAAGTTCTTTGCGATGTGATGTGTGATACCCCCCTAAAGCCCCCTGTGCAAGCCAACATGGACCCATGTCACTCTTGGTTCATCTAGAATGTATTTTGCCCGCGTGTCGGTTGGGATTGTTTTGGTGAGCTTATACAACGGGGCAGACCCAGTGTCGCCCGCTTCCTAAAATCCTAGCGAAACAACCAAGACAATATGGGGGATACCAGGCCGCTTAAAGATTCTGATGCGTTCATAGTCATTTGGTATTGTGATTCCTCTTCTATTGACAAATGTCTCTGTCTTGGCCCTCTGGACCGTCAAAGTTGCTGTATATAGGTCTAGAGTGCATCCTCGCATGAAAGTGAATGCAATGGACTGAACAGCGAAAGGAAAGAGACTGGCAGTGACTTGTAAGATTCTTGCAGATCCGGGAGCGCTTCGTACAGAAGTTGCACTCCTGTCACGGTGACATGTTGCAGAAAGTTTCCAACATCGCCCCCCCCCCCAGCAGTACATTCTCTTGATGAATGCTGGAAACAATGGAACCCTTCTTGTCCATCGTCACTTACGATACACAGGATCCACATGATGTCGTTCTTGTCCATCAGTCTTTGGTTGCCCTGCCCACTAC